TTATTTGTTCTAGACACAGCCTATCTAGGACCATAAAACAGTACTGACCACCACAGTACTTAAGCTTTTGCATAGAATAAGACAAAGATAAAACTGATCAATTGATTAACTCAGGAGTCAGAGCCTGTCATCAGCTCTGGGCATAGGTAAACCCAGAGAGCTGCTGTCAGCCTGTATCACAGTGATGCTTCTCTATCCAGATGCTTTTTTGATGCTTCTCACTCACAAAAGTGAAGTGCTGCCAAGAGGCTAGAGGTACTTTCCAGCCCTGCTCTTTTCACCCCAGCCATGCCAGGATACATTTTAGGATCAAGAAAATGTGATTATAAACCAGCTCAAATTGGCGGGGAACTTTAGGAGGGAAAGTAACTGAACAAATTTCAAGTTGTCTTTGTTTCCTTCAAGTATGATTTTAGTTTATATTAAACATTTGTAGGTAGATCATATTTTAAAATAAAGTTTGAGTGTACATAGTGGGTGTCAAGTACACAGCTATAAACATAAACCAAAATTCCACTAATCTTTGTGCTGTATTATGCTGTGTTATACTAGGGTAGTTTTTCAATGTTAGCTGGTTGATAACATTGATGCTCTGGGCATCTTCGAAACACTCAAAAAAAATCTTGCAAAGTATTTTTTTTTATAGTAACTAGCATTGTAAATAGAGTTCTAATCTGTAAGCATTTGCACATAGTGGTATACAAGCTGGAAAACTGCAAGGTAGTCTATCCTTTAAAAGTACATAGTAGTTAACATGGTTCAACTAAATGAAACCTAAATCTTCTCAGCTTTGACATATAAGTTTGTAGCAGGAAAGAAGTTCCCTGTTAATTACATTTTCCAGACTCTTGATCATTACCAGTCATTAGCAAATCCTGCAAAAACCATCATCTGCAGGAGACTTAAAACTGAAACAAAAATTTCAAGCATTGAACCTTTTTCCATGTCGCAGTTCATATGCTCAGATACCTAGAAGCAATAAGGATTAGATGTTTGCAAAATCACGATTACAAAAGTGAAAATATGCTTTTGCATCCAAGTTTCATTACAGGTATTCCTCCACATTTGGCAAATCTGCAAATAATACCGTCTAACAGAAAGTGGTTGCTTCATCTTTATTACTGGAATTCTTAATTTGTTTACTGTCTATCACAGCATAACTCTCAGATCCAGATCCAGGACCTTACATTAGGTACTGCCAAACTGTGTACTGGAACAAGATAGATTTTAAGTTCTCTGGGAGAAGAACTATTATATTTTGCTTTAGTATTGTTTGGCAGAGAAAAGGAACAGGTCATTACCCATTTAAAAAAAAAAAAAAAGGCAAATTATTTAAAACAAAATTAAAAAAAAAATCTCTGCTACCTGGATATTTTTAAAACTGTTATTGGCTTGTACATGTTAGAAATCACAATCAACAAGCTGGTAGTCACCTAAAAACTACATTTTTCAAGAGATATTACTCACAATTCAGTTTAGCAGAAACTGATATGGGTTAGCATCTTTGGAAATCAAAACAGTTATCCAGTGACATCTAATTATGCTTTAGGATCCTATCCTTATGACCCAGATTTGTAAACTATTTCCTAAAATTAATTTAGAACTGTTCAAGAAAGCACGATGCATGAAAACACAATACAACCACTCTCCACCGATGTTAGGCAATATTAAATAGTATAAAAAATCAAAACTAATTCTCCAAAAATGAAAGACATTTTAGCCAATTTTCTAAATTTAAGGTCTTATATGTTTTTTCATTTTGGAACCTTTAAAAACTTTAAAGGGCTTCTAGAGGAGTACAATGACAAACTTCTTACACTTTTAAAAACTGGTTTTGTCTTCCTAGTACCTAATTCCAGAAGCTAGAAATTTAAGAAAACACCAAGTGTAAGATTCATAACATAATGACAATTAACAATACATCTAAATACTATGTCCTTTTGAAATCACATTTGTTTACAAACTATGCCTGTGGGTGCATCATGGATCTATCCATCAGTTAGTTCATGTGCAACGCCTGCAGGCACTTGGAAATCTGCTTATCACAAGGATGGCTGGGAAATGAGACATCATCTGGATATTACAGTCATACTGGTGTAATTTAGGCAGCCAAGCATCATGGTTAGCTTTCTACAGAACAGACCTATGGCACGTTTTCAAAGTTTTTTGGGTAACACTTAATCCATATGATGAGAGGGCTCATCTGGAAATTGCACATAGTATTCTGTGACTACTGCTTCAAGCAATTTTAAGGCGGGAGAAGCAGCATCTCATCATATTTCTACGTCATCCCACTTCCAGTCATCCAAAGCTGTGAGATGGCATGTCATAGACTACTGCTAGCATGCGGGGCACCTAGACAAAATAAATAACACTGGATCGGGATGTGCTAATGATAGTCCTATGCAACTATTATGATGGTAAGGGACTCCAAACAGATGCAACCAACAGTTTGCACGAAAGGGACTAAAGGTAAGACTTACTCTGTGGCCTACTTCAACCATTCAGGACACAAATACTAGTTCCACCCTGGATTTTTTCCTTTTCACAATGTGCAAAAGCTCTTACCTGGTGCAAGGCTCAATTCTTATGGACTCCTTATGTCTCATATGTGTTCCCATAAATAAGGAAAACTAACACTGTGAAAATGCTGTTATATGCAAAACAAAGGGAAAATAAAGGTTCTGCGGCAGGAACGGGGGAGGGAACCAAAAACAATCAATCAATCTTTTGGGCTGGTTCGTAGAGAAACCCAGAGAAAACAAAAGAGATAAAAACAATGAGAAACCCTGTTCTGTACCAACAACCTTTCTTTTCCCGCTTTTCTCTTCTGATTTTATAGATGTAGGGTACTCTTGGATATTCATTGCTGTACTGAAGTCTGTCCTCAGCCTTGAGCAAAGTTCTTCTACTTCAGTTTCTCAGTAAGCTAAAATAGTATATTTTATAGTATATAGTGTATACTATAGTATAGTATATACAAATACTTGTATGCTTCATTGAGATGTCATAGTTTGCAGTTACTGTATTGCAAAGTACAGTATTGTATAAATGCTGGATATGTTTTAGCAATCAAAAATAAAATGATTCTTTAGAACAATCTACTACACATCTGAAACTAAAATCCTCATGCACTATATTTTCTCAAACTATTATATGGGCTTGGTCTTTCATATTCAAAACCGTTCAGTTTATGGTTAGTGGCACAGATGTACTTTTGTAAAAGTTTCCTAACAAACAAAACAGAACAAACAAACATTGGAAGGTGAAAAATTTCTATACAAAGGAGTAGACTTCCCAAAAAAGAATAAAGAGGCTTAATAATTCAAACAAATACAAACAGAGTATAGTATCAAATGTAGCATGTCTGTGTCTACTTATAAATGCAAAGTAGTTTTCAAATTTTAAAATAAAACTGTCCTCCAGTAAAAACCTGAATATACTTGGTGAAACTTGAAGATACATTGATTAGTTTTATTTTATCCTAAAAACAGTTTGCCCTTATTGTTCATATACTGCATATGTATATCTGATCTCTTATAGGGACATAATAAATACATATTCAAAGAAAGTCCAGCATCGTACAAAAGAGTGGCTATGCAGACATCACAAGTTAAGACACTGATAGGTGTTAAAACTTTGTTAGCAACAGGTTCTCCAAAACTCTTGACTCTGTAGCTTGTGGATACATACACAATACAGACTGAGTAACAAAATCTTTCAAATGGCAACAAAAACTGAAAATGAAGTTCGGAGAATAGCATGATGCCAGGCAGAAGAATTTCTTTTGAAAAGAAATGTAATTCATGCTAAGAGTCTCTAAGAAAAGCACAGGGAATATTATATTTTGGAACTAAAGCATGACATTATGGGCCTAATACCTCACATCTCAGATGTGAAGCATCTGTGCAGCAGAGTTGAAGAGCCAATAACAAACAGCAGATATTTGGTAAGGGCAGTCAAAGCAAAATAGCAGAATTTTAGGAAGGCATAAGCTGAGTCAAAACAACTATTTTCTGAATTAAAAAAAATTACTAATTGAAACTAAAATGATAATGCTAAAATATCTTTCATCAGTTGCTTTTGAAGACATAAGAGATGGAAAACTCTTTAAAGTAAAGCGCTTTTTCCTATTTCTAATTGTATATTCAGCTATCCAAATATTCAGATGTTGACAAATGTAAAAATAAATTCTGAAGAAAGACAGCAGGCTTATTAATTAGTCTTTAAAATTTAACTCCAGAAATCTAACTACATATTCTTTGCAAAATAAAACCACAAAAAGAAGTGCATTTATGAATGAGGGACGTGGAAACTCGATTTCAGACTGCAAAACAAATGTGCATACAGACCACAGCAGATCCCAGCACAGAGCTCCCAGATAATGTGCATCCTCAGCTTCCAGAATGGGAAGGAAGTGCTCACTCTGTCTCAGAAACACACCAGGGTCCCTATTGCGATGGCACCTCGGTTCCGAGCATGTTCGTTCATAACAAATAGTGCTATGAGAGCTGTCAGCATTACTGTTTACAAACAAAATCCAACATACCCCCCCGGGATCAAGAACTACCTTTATGACCTTTACATACTAGTTTATACACTATCTCCAGGAAAGTTCCCTAGTTCTCTACGGGATGCTGTGAAGAAAAAAAAAAAAAAAAAAAAAAAAAAGGAGCAACCGAAGGGATTAACACTAGCAGCTCTAAACAATCTCTACTTGCTTTTAAATTGAGACAGAAAAGCACTGTAGCTTTCCAAGACCTGCATCACTTTCGCAACTTGCCCTGAAATTTCAGGGAACGGTGTACAAAACCATAACAGAAGCCCTTTCCGCACCCAAACCCGAGGACGGAGACTGCTCGCCTACGGCAAGATCCTCTGGCCGGGGCCGCTCCAGCGCCCTGGACCCTCCGGCTGTCCCGGCCGCAGCGACCCCCGGCCCTACGGCCGCCCGCGCGAAGGGAGAGAGGCGCGGCGGTGCCGAGCCCGCAGGCTCCTACCTTGTTCGAGGCCATTTCGCTGACGGAGTGCCTGGTCTGCAGGGTCTCCAGCTGGTCCAGGCACCAGTCCAGCTCCTCCATGGTCTCGCTAGCCAGTTTTTGATAGGCCTCCTCTGCGAAGAGACAGGGAAAGGCACGCTCAGTTCGCAAGCGTTTCACAAGGCTACCGGCGAGCTCCATCGCGCCCATCCTGCTGCGCTGCCCGGTGCCCAGACATGGGTTCTGCTCCCTCATAGTGCCAGCGCGGACAGCGACCGCCGCAGATCCGCCCGTCCGCAGGGCAGCGCTCCTCTGCGGGCCACCGGGGGGGCGAGCGGCCAAAAACTTCAGTCCGGCCGGGTTGGCCCCTCGCCTCCACTCCGCCGCCCTCCCCGGAACCGCGGCCAACCGCGGACCCGCCCTCTCGCGGGCGGTTTCGAGCTCGGCGGGCGCGGCGCGGTGGAGATCGGGCTAGCCGCTGCCCTTCCACACACACAGCCCCACCGCGGCAGGAACCCCGCCGAGAACCCCTTCCCTGTCTGTTCTTACCTACCCACGGCCGTACCATCAGAAATTAACCGGTTGGTGTTTACAGAAGCGCGGGAAGGAGGTACGAGCACGTGTAAGCGCTCGGATCAATGATGAGCCGCCGAAGCACTGGCTGTTTAAAGGACCGCTCAAATAACTGCAATCGTGTTTGCGCTGACCTGTATGTGTTTGTGTGTGGGAGTGCTCAAATGACTGCAGTCGTGTTTGCTCTAACCCGAAGGCTCTGTAGGTGTATGTGTGTTTGCGTGCACAAAGCACCACATGTTGTCTGTAAACAAAGCAAGGATTGATAGAAAAGTCTTGGAACTGGACCCAGCAATACAGTACGGGAAATGGACCCTATAACAATATGAAATGCCATTATTGGAACTAACTGTGCAAGTTTCAGTTACATAACAGGAAGATGTTTTCTTCAGTAACTCCCCAACAACAGGAGATCCATTGGTTTGCAAATAATTTTAGAAAAATAGCCCTTTATGTAGGGTGGAAGCCTCACCTACAAAGCCTGGCTATTTCAATGTAGATCTTAGGGGGAGAGTGCTTCTCTACACTGAAGTTGGAGCTGAGTGAGTTTTAGGCTAGGCATGGTGTCTTACAAGCTGTGTACCTGCAACATCGAGTTTTGAAACTGCTGGCTCACATGCGTCTGAAAAAGCTACGTGCAAACATGATTCCAAGGTAGAGAAATGTTTCTTCGGTGGGCTTGTAATTGCCATCTATAACATCTCCCTTAACTTATTTCACATCAAATTAGCGTTATTTTCATAACGTCAGACAAGGAAAAAACCAAGCAAATAAGCTAACTAAAACTCCTTTTCAAATAAAACACCCCATCACAGACTACTGCTATTAGTGCATTACTGTTTGACATCTTGGATACTAGATTTGTATGTTTTTACATTTCTGAGCACATGCTCAAAAATTTCAGGCTCCTTCACACTTGTTAAACTTCACGTACACGAGGCTATTGCAAAAACAGTCCACAATTTCGAATTATGTCCATTTTCCTCTGGAAAAGGTAATGCAAGAAGAAATTGTTTGAATTGAGATTAATTGGCAGAACCATTTAAAGAAGATTTTGCAGTGTAACCATTTCAGTAAACACATTAACCAATGCTCAACAAAAATCCCCATTAAATTGTAGACACTCTTTCAGATGCATATTACTATAAATGCTATCTGATCTTAAGGACTCTCTGGCAAATAAAGTCAGGTTTTTACAGCCTGTTTATCTATCAAAAGAGAATTCATGGTGTTCTGCAATACAGCAGACATCACAGCTCACTACTTCTTGAACACAACTGTTTAACTGATCTTACAGTGTAGATTTCAGCAAGATCACTACTGAAAAGAGAAATACCTTTGTTTATAACATGTCTGTAAGAGTAAGGGATTAAATGCTTTTGAGGAAGCAGAGATGCAGTTAACATATGCAGTTATCTGATGACCTCATACAATCATTGCCTTGAGGATACAATGGACAATGAAGTGAGGTAAAATGAATTTGTATGATGTTATTTTGCTGCTAGCCTGCAGCCTGCCCATCAGCAGTTCTTGAAAATCAGATACTAGGAACCATGTTTTTCTTAACAAGATCATCCCCTCTAATGCTTCAGAGAGTATGCAGGTAAGGTTTTTCCAAGAAGTATGAGAACAACAAAATAAACTGAAGGGATAAAATATTTAGGTAAACGTAATAAAACATTCAGTTTGTTATGCAACAATATATATTACATTCAGGATTTTTTATCTACTACTCACCTTCCCAATGTATCTCAAAGCACATTAGAAAGCAGAATCCATCACTCACAAGGAAGTCCTATCACCCTTAGGATCTTTCTTGTGACCTCTCATTTCAGACTGCCACACTTCAAGAGTTTGTGATTGCTGTTGGGACCTAACTGACCACTCAAAGTAAAATTCGGATGGGCAATGCTAGGTTAAAGACTTGCTGAACTCAGCATCTTCTGACAGTTCTCAGATCTCAGAGCTGTCAAGCCAGTCCTGATATCTTAAATGGAAATAAAAGGTTTCCTAAATGATGGCAAAGTACCCTCCAAACAAGCATACCTGCAGTTCTGAAGGGCAGAACAACCATAGGAAATCTTTTTTCTGAATGGTACTAAAGCTCTAAATTTGGCCCACACTATTGTTGATACACAATGTGGTGGAAAATGTAGTGGTTAACAGCTTTTCAAGCATAGCACCCCAGTACCACTAAGCTAAGAATAAAAGAATAATTATCAGCTGTGCAGCTTTGAGAGCCTCAGAACTCTGTTTCTGACTTCTGTGTTACCTCTGAGGTAGCACCCTGTAATTATTCCCATCCAGGACTGATCTACTAATCAGATTTTTTGGAATAGACACAAACAAGCTTCTCCACCCAGACCATGAAGTCCTGAAACAGATTAACTTCTGTGGAGAGCCATCTTGAAATTTCAGACGTTCTTTTTATGTCTCATTAGGCTTTAATATGAGGGAGAGAAGTACAGTTGAACACCAACTGCTTTAACAATTTGCATGTTATTTTGTATATGCCTTTAGAAAAAAAAGAAGTGACAACAAGTGCTCTCTTTTCAGTTCACAGATTACAAGCAATTCCACTATGTATGGTACATTGAAAAACAAAACAAAACAAAGCAAATAAAACCGGAAAAAACCTAATGAAAGGCTAGCTGAAAGAAAAGGCTCAGCAATAATCATTTACTACTACACAGTTAATTTTTTCTCAGAGTGTTCTACTGTACATTTTTATAAAGACTTCATTCTTAGCACAGCTCCTAACACACCACCAGAGATAGCTGCACTTGTATTCATGTCATTATTTGGGAACAATTTCTGTTCAAAATTTTCAAAGGGAAAAAATTATTATATGGCAATGTTTAAGTAGTGTCCACTTTATTTAATGGTTCTTAATAATTTTCATATAAGTTGTTCTACTATTCCTGAAGAACAAAAAGCAATACTAGACTTTCCTACTAGTGCTCAAGTGTATTCGTACTAAACTTTCTAGTAATTTAATGACTGTCAGAACAGCAGAAGGAAAAGATAAGTACAGATACTTCATTGTCTGATTGGTTGAAATCAGCTGAGTGATGCAAAGAGGCTGGAAAGAAATTGACTTAGCAAGCACACATCCAAGGGCTTTGATCAGTGTGTTGCCTTAAGATGTGAGTGTGTTCAAGGCAAGAAAAGGACACTGATGAGCAGTGGTGTGATCCAGATAGTCTTGGCATGTGTACTGTCTTTTGGAGCTGCAAGCATCTCGAAGTTCTGAAAACCTCCAGGCTATACTAAATTATGATGAGCTGAAGATCTAACCAGAAAAGAAAGGTCAAAGATGATGGATACTCCATGGTAAAAAATGCTGGTAAATTCCTGACAACAGATGAAGAGAAAACTGATGTACTCAACTTTTTTTTTTCTGCTAGTAACCTCTCTTTCCGCACCTCTGGAGTGGACGGACAGCAGGATGGGGGCTAGGAGAGAAAAGTCCCTTCCACTTTAAGAGAAGATCAGGTTTGTGACCACCTATGTAACCTTAACATACATAAGTTTATGGGACCTGATGAGATGCATCCCAGAGTCCTGATGGAATTGGTTGATGTAGCTGTCAAGCCACTCTCCAGGATATTTGAAGTTGTGGCAGTCAGAAGAAGTCCCAGGTGACTGGAAAAGGGGACTGTACCCATGTTTAAAAAGGGTAGAAAGGAGGACCCTGGGAACTACTGACCTGTCAACCTCACCACTGTGTCCACGAAGATCATGGAATAGATCTTTGAGATGCTGTGCTAAGGCACATCGAGGACACAGGAGTGATTCAAAACAGCCAGCATGGTTACAGCAAGCAAAGTCCTGTCTGACCAACCCAGTGGCCTTCTATGATGGAGCAACTACTGGACAAGGAAAGGTCTATAAATGTCGTTTATATGGACTTCTGTAAAGCCTTTGACTGGTCCCCCACAACATCTTTCTCTCTAAATTGGATTTGATGGACTTGATGGGTGGACTATTAGATGGATAAGAAAGTTGCATCCAGAGGATAGTGGTCAATGGTTCAGTGTCCCAGTGTACATCAGTGACAAGTGGTGTCCTTCAGCAGTCAATATTGAGACCAGATGAAGGGATCAAGGGCACCTTCAGCAAATTTGCTGATGACCACAAGCTGAGTGGTGCAGTTAACACACCTGAAGGACCAAATTCCATCCAGGACCTACACAAGCAGGAAAGTACACCCATGCGACTCTCATGAGGTTTAATAAGACTAATTGCAAGGTACTGTACCTGGGTTAGGGCAACTGCTAGTATCAATACGTGCTGGGGGATGAACAGATGAAGAGCAGCCCTGACGAAAAGGACTTAGTGGTGCTGATGGATGAGAGGCTGGATGTGACCCCACAGTGTGTGTTCACAACCCAGAAAACCACTTGTATCTTGGACTGCATCAAAAGGAGAGTGACCTGGAAGTCAAGGGAAGTGATTCTGCCCTTCTACTCTGCTCGGTGAGACCCACTTGGGAGTGCTGCATCCAGCTCTGGGGTCCCCAGCACAGGAAGGACATGGACCTGTTGGAGCAACTCCAGAA